TCGTGACCTGAGCCGACGTCGGACGCTTAACCGACTGAGCCACCAGGCGCCCAGGCGTGCTCTCTCAATGCTCACACCAGTCCCATGAGGTAGGGCGATTCTCCTCGCTGGCCAGCCAGCAAGACTAAGTCTGAGGTCATCCAGAGCTCAGCCAGGCCCTGGCCTCCACCGGCTCCTCTTGACCCCTGGGGGCAGCGGCCATGTCGAGAGCGGCCAGAGTTGGAGGCACAAATTCTGAACTCTGTGTTCATGGGAGCATTCTCAAAATGGGTAGACGGGCAGCAGTCTGTTTGTCCTCTCATGCCTGTGGGATGTTTGGAGATGCCAATTCAGCTGGTTTTTACAGACAGTTAGTAAACGTATACAGGCACCGAGCTAGTCGTATGCACACGTGCACATGCCCGTATACCTACATACAAACACACACGTCCAGAGGTGGAGCTTGAAGGAGGAAGGGAAGGAGCTGATGGGGGGAGTGGGGGAGGAGGGCAGGCATAGGAGAGAGGGATGTAGATTTCACACTAAGCCCTGCGGGGAGGTAGCCGTGATCCTCATATAATAGAGGACAAAGCTGGAGCTTACAGAAGTTTTTACGTCTTCCCTGCACACATGCTGGTGGGGTGAGCTTGAGCGGCCGACCTGAGCCAGACTCCCAGTGCTGTCCCTCCCAGCACACCCGACACCCAGAACTGAGCCGTCCCAGCTCCATGGCTGTGGCTGAGTGAGTGAGGGGCCTGCCTTCCTCTTGGCAAGCCCTGTGCCGGGAGGAAGGGGTTCCTTTTATAATTCCCACAGACGCCTCTCATGGTTCCTAATGCTTTTTGGGTCAAGGGCTCTATCAGGAAGCTGATGAGAGGTGTGGACGCTCTATGTACATGCAGAAATTCTCCTAGGATCTGGGGTCCAGGCCCCCAGGAAGCTCTGACGGTCATCTCTAGCTGAGGTCCCATGGAGTCCACCGAGAACTCCCGTCCTGTCTGCTCCTGGGTCCTCGGGTAGACACAGTGAGGCCCATCCTTTTTCCAGAGTTCTTAGCTTTCTAATCTTGCTGGGTCCTATCTGTGAACCTTATGGATTTGGGAGATGTGTAAGCACCAGATATTCACAGGGTCCCAACAGAGGGACCTGGGGACTTCCGTCATCTTGGAAGCACCAGCTCAGATGGAGAGTTTGCTGTGAACCGCATTTATTAAACAGCCTGACTGAGATATAATTCACACACCACACAATTCACTCATTTGGAACGTTGGTTATTTAGGAGTGTTTTTTTAATTTTCTCATATTTGTGACTTTCCCAAATGACCTTCTGTTATTGATTTTTTTTTTTAATTTTATTCCATTGTGGTCTGGGAACATGCTTTGTATATTTTCAATCCTTTTAAATGTATTGAGTCTTGTTTCATGGTCTGTGCCAGAACAATGTTCCATATCCACTTGAAAAAACAAAGTGTTATTCTGCAGTTGTGTGGAATGGTCTGGATGTGTCTGTTAGGGCTGGCTGATTTACAGTGTTGTGGCAGTCACCTGGATTCCTGATCTTCTGCCGTCCATTCATGTACTCAAATCTCCAACTACTATTGTTGAACTCTCGATTTCTCGCTCCAATTCAGCCAGTTTATTTTCGTGTGTTTCAGGGGCTCTGTTTTAGATGTATGTTTATAATAGTTCTGTCTTGTAGATGGATTGGCCCCTTCATCAGAATAGCATGGCCCTTTTTGTCCCTAGTAACAATTTTGCCTTCACGATTATTTTGTCTGATACTAGTCAGCCACCCCAGGTCTCTTTTGGTCATTGTATGTTATTTCCATTCTTGTACTTTCAACCTATTTGTATCTTTGAATCTAGAATGTATCTCTTACAGGTAGCATAGAGCTGGAGTGGTTTTTCTTTCGGCCAATCTCTGCCTTTTGAATGGATTGTTTAATCCATTCACATTTAATATAATGACCGCTAAGGTAGACTTTACATCTGCTGTTTTGATATTTGTCTTTTATATGTCTCATGTCTTTATTCCTCTTTCTTTCCTGCTTACTTTCTTCTTTTTTAAGTGAAGTTTTCCAGTGTACCACTTTAATTCTCTTGTTTTTGCTTTTACTCTATTTTTTCAGTTATTTTTGTTAGTGATTGCTCTGGTATCAACATTTACTTAAGATTTATGCTAAATCTCAGTGATGTATAAAAAGTTTATTCCTATATAGCTGTCTGGCCTGCTCCCCTTTCTGTGCTGTCATTTATTATTATACATGATGTCTGTAAATCCATAATGTTACAAACGCAAGGATGCATTTTTATAGTTACTACTTTACAGAACTCTACATCTTTTAAGGAAGTCGAGATGAGAAAGGAGAGCAAATAAATATCTGGAGTTTACCATTTTACCCGTCTTATATACTATTCATTTCTTCCAGCAGATTCAAGTTACCATTGGGCGTCATTTCTTCACTCAGCTGCTTCCTTTGTTCTGTTTGTTAAATATGTCACATTTCTGAGGCATCTGTGTGGCTCAGTCAGTTAAGCGTCTGACTTCGGCTCAGGTCATGATCTCACTGTTCATGAGTTCAAGTCCCAGGTCGGGCTCTGTCCTGACAACTCAGAGCCTGGAGCCTGTGTAAGATTCATCTTCCTCTCTCTCTCTGCCCGTCCGCCACTCACACTCTGTCTCAAAAATAAATAAACGTTAAAAAAAAATTGATAAAAAGATATCACATTTCTGTACACCATAGGCCCAACAATACAATTATATACATATCATTGTATGCAATTGCTTTTTAATTTAGGTAAGAGAAGAAAGATGCTATCTTTCGT